AGCTACTAGGGAGATTGAGGCAGAAGGATTGAAATTTCAAGGCCAGTCTAGGAACTTAGCAAGATCCTGACTCAAAATAAAGAATAAAAAGGATGGGCTGGGATTGTAGTTCAGTGGTAGAGCAGGCAGACACACATGTTAGGCACTAGGTTCGATCCTCAGCACCACATAAAAAAATAAATAAAGGTATTGTGTCCATCTACAACTAAAAAAATTTTTTAAAGGGCTGGGGGGTAGTCCCATGGTAGAATGTTTGCTTAGCAGTGTGAGCCCCTGGGTTTAATCCTTAGCACCAAAAAACAATTATTTTATAAATCAGATAACCAATATGATCAGAACTGTGTAAAAGTAAAAATAGAACTTGCTCTGAGGACAGAGGTGCTCTGCAGTTAGAGCTGGATGGTGGCTGTGATAACACATGTGACCCAGGATGTCAAACTGGAAATGCCAAGTGAGGCACCAAGTCAAAACAGACCTGAAACTCCAAAGTAAATTCCCAAATGAACTCAAACACTCCTCACCCAGAAGAAGAGTGAAGAAGGATCAAAACTATAGAGATGGGGAGGAGGCTGGTAAGGAGAGAGCTATTGGTGAGCCAGGAGTCCTCAACCTATCAATAATAAAAACAAATAACTCAATCTAAAAATGAACAAAGGAGCAGAACATGGTGGGGTAGGCCTGTAATCCCAGCAGCTTGGGAGATTGAGGCAGGAGGATCGTGAGTTCAAAGCCAGCCTCAACAACTTAGCAAGGGACTAAACAACTCAGCAAGACCCTGCCTCTAGATAAAATATTAAACAATGGCTGGGGATATGGCTCAATGGTTAAGCACTCCTGAGTTCAATTCCTGGTACCAAAAAGTAAATAAATAAATAAATAAAAGTGAACAAAGGAATTGGGCATGGTAGTAGATGTCTGTTAATCCCAGCAACTCAGGAGGCTAAGGCAGGAGGATCTCAATTTCAAGGCCAATCTCAGCAACTTAGCAAGACCCTGTCTCAAAAAGAAAAGGAGCTGAGGCTATAGCTCAGTGGTAAAGTGCTTGCCTCCTATGTGTAAGGTACTTAGCACCACATAAAAATAAATAAATATACTGTGTGTTCATCTACAACTAAATAAACATTAAAAAAATTAAAAAGAAAAAAAATTAAAAACAAAGGGGGACTGAGGATGTAGCTCAGGGACAAAGCGCCCCTGGGTTCAATCCCATACCAAAGGAATGGGGTGGGGGACTGGGTAGGGGAGAGAACAATGGATCCTAATAGACATTTCTCCAAACATGCAAATAACCAATAAGCATATGAAAAACTATTAAATATAATTAGCCATTAGGGAAATATAAATAAAAGCCATAGTAAGATGCTACTTTTTACCAATTAGGAGGATTATGCAAAAAGATAGGTAATAACAAGAATTGGCCAGGATGTGGACTTAGAGCCTGAATAGATTGCTAGTAAGAATGTAAAATGTTGCCCCCACTTGGGCAACCAGTTCGGCAAGTCCTCAAAAGGTAAACAGGATCACCACATGATCTAGCAAGTCCACACCTAGGGAAGTGTATGTGTACCTAGAGAGAAATAAGAATATACATATACTACACTGTACATCAATATTTATAGCAGTATTATTCATAAGGGCTAAATGGTAGAAACAATTCAAAATCTATCAACAGAAGAATGAATAAATAAATACACATACACAAAATTACTGGTACACAAATGTTTTCAGCAGTATTATTTGTAAAAACCCAAATAGTCCATCAACAGAGGACTGGATAAAGAAAATATGGTATACCCATACAATAAACACAATAAGGAAAAAAGAAGGAATGCTGCAATATGGATGAACCTCAAAAATACCATGCTAAGAATGCAGACTGTTAAGATTCCTTATGCATGAGATGCATGAAACAGGCAAAGCGATAGAGACAAAACAGTACATTAGCGATTACCTATGGCTAGAGCAGTGTAGACAGAGTAGAGAATGACAGTTAAAGGATATGGGGTTTATTTTAGGGAGGACAAAAATATTCTAAAATTTGATTGTAGTGATGATTGTACAATCCTATGAATAAATTTAAAAAATGAACTGCATGCTTGAAATGGGTGGAATATATGTTTTGTGAATTTTTATCTCAATAAGTATCAACAAGAAGAAAAACAGAGCAGGAAATGTTCCCCAAAACATCTCTCAGACTAAATACCCTCATTTCCCAATGAGAGACTGAATCAATGAACCCATCGCAGATGTTCTCCTTATTTCCTGCCTTTGAGCAGTACTCTATAATTTAGTATTAGCAGAAAGTTAACGAAGACAACACATCTCTTATTGCTAAAGTTTACACAATGTTTACTATTTCCCTCCAATATACACATTCCCTCTGTTTTCCAACTGTAGCTGGGCTGTCAAAACCTTATAGAAAGAATAATTACCCTCTACACCCTCCTGGTTTCACAATACCAATTTCTAGTATCTAATCCAGTATCTACAGCAGACTAATGATCTGCTTGCCTCTCTAGGAGGCTTTAAATGCACCAAAACGTTCATTGAGCTAGGAGGGGTTCCCTGCTTTAGGGAACAAAAAGGATAAATGGCAGCATTTATTTCCAAATCTCTCTCTCTCTCTCTCTCTCTCTCTCTCTCTTTTTTTTTTTTTTTAGAGGCTAATTTCTTCATAAGGAAGAAATTCTGTTTTGCTTTCTTTTTCCTGGAAAGGCAGTTTATTGGCTTCTAAGGAATACTATGAGGGGTTTGCACCAAAGTTTAGTCACAATTTGTCCTACCCTTGCCCCAACAGCACTTTTCAAGTCATCAGCTTTCCATCCTAATGTTCCTCAGATGGGATGTAAATGAATAAGATATTTCTGAAAGTTAGTGTGGCTTTATTCTCTAATTCAGAGCATTTGCTTTCTAGACTACTCTGTGTAATTTCTTGTCTTTCTATAATCTCAAAATCCTTTCCTACCCATATTTAGAACAGAACATAAGACCAATCTTTTAGGAGTCATTTGGTGGTACTGGAGATCAAACCCAGGGCCTCAGGCATCATAAGAAAATGCTCTACCACTAAACTACATCCCTAGTCCTTTTTATTTTTATTTTAAGATGAGGTCTTACTAAGTTGCCAAGGCTGGCCTTCAACATGCAATCATCCTGCCTCAGCCTCCCAAGTAGCTAGAATGACAGGTATGTGCCACCATGCTCAGATCTCAAGTTCCAAACCAGCCAAGAAAATTTAGAAAGACCCTGTCTCAAAATAAAAAAATAAATTAAATAAAAAATAAAAAAGGATTGGGAATATAGCTAAGTGCCTCTGGGTTCAATCTCTAGTATTACCAAAAAAAAAAAAAAAAAGAGAGAGAGAGAAAAGAAAAGAAAATATCACTGTATTCATTAGCAGTCACTCCCAATTCCTCATCTCTATCCTAAGTGTCTAGCAATCACTAATCTATTTTATTTCTATGTGAATTAGCCTATCTGGACATTTCATACAAATGGAATTATATATAATATGTGATTTTCTGTGTCTGGCTTTTTTACTTCACATAATTTTTTAACATTCACCCATGTTCAAGTACATATACATACTTCATTTCTGTTCATGACTGAGAGCTGTTCTACTGCACTGACATAGCGCATATGTTTATCCATTTATTAGGTGACAGACACATGGGTTGTGTCCACATTTTAGTTTTTATAATAATGCTGCTATGAACATTCACATACAGGTTTTTGTGTGAACATATTTCATTTTCTTTGGGTATATACCTAAGAGTGGAATTGCTGGGTCATTTGATAACTCTGTGTTCAACTTTTTGAGGAAATGCCAAACTATTTTCCAAAGCAACTGTACTTTTTAACTTGGAATAAAATTTTGAAAGTTGTAAATATTTTCAAAAGTAAAATATTATAAATTTATTGAAATAAACTTTAAAGAAGAATATTTATCCCAACTCCATCTGGCCCTAACACCATGCATTTTGTTTTTGTCTGAAAATATCTCTCATATATATTTATAAGGCTGCAATCATAGCAAACATACAATTTATATATTTTTCATTTTTGTTATATATTTAGGTAGTCATTTTCAGGATTCATTTATATAGAACTACTTCTCTATGATAGATTACTATCAAAAATTATAAAGTAGATTCAATATTATCATACTTTTAGGAAACCTATGGTGCTGAAAAATGCTTCTGTCCTTTTCATCAAGACATATTTTTTTTTGGGGGGGGGGGTGTGCGAGGTACTGGGAATTGAACTCAGGGGCACTCAACCACTAAGACACATCCCCAGCCCTATTTTGTATTTTATTTAGAGAAAAAGCCTTGCTGAGTTGCTAAGTGCCTCACAAAGTTGCTGAGGCTGGCTTTGAACTCATGATCCTCCTGCCTCAGGCTCCCAAGCACCTGGGATTACAGGAGTGCACCACTGTGCTCAGCTTTATTTTTTTATTTTTGAAATAGGGTCTCACTAAATTGCTTAGGCTGGCCTTGAATTTGCAACCCTCCTGCCTCAGCCTCGTGAATTGCTGGGATTACAGGTGTGTGCCACCACACCCTGCTAGTCACTCCAATTCTTAAAGTATGTAATAAAAGGCAAAATTGCCAGGTGCCATGGTACACACCTATAATCCCAGTGGCTCCAGAGACTGAGGCAGAAGGATCACAAATTCAAAGCTGGCCTCAACAACTTTGCAAGGCCCTAACCAACTTAGTGATTCCCTGTCTCAAAATAAAAAATATAAAGGGCTGGAATGTAGCCTAGTGGTTAAGTACCTCTGGGTTCAATTCCTGGTACAAAAAGTAAAATAAAATAAAGGCAAAATTATTTAAGAGCTGGGAATATAGCTTAGTGGTAGAACACTTGCCTGGTGAGCATGAGGTCCCCTGGGTTCAATTCCCAGTACCACCACAAAAATAAGTAAATAAATAAAATAAAAACAAAAGAATAAGTAAAAATACAAGCTAAAAATATTAGTGACTTGAATTACCAACCTTAAACACATCTTCAATACATCTACTAAGTTCTTCTTCTGACACCAAAATGGTTCCTGGTACTATATCATTCTCTGGAACCTCTAGAAAACAAACAAAATTATCCACACTCAGTGCCTCACTGAAACACTAATAGGAGATAGTTTTACTACAAAGATGTTCACACTTTTACACTGTTGGAGAAACTGTAAATTAGTACAACCACTAATCACCACATGACCCAGCTATACTACTCCTCAGTATTTATCCTAAAGAATTAAAATCACTGGGCTGGGGATATAGCTTAGCTGGTAGAGTGCTTGCCTTACATGCACAAGGTCGTGGGTTCAATCCCCAACACCACAAAAAAAAAAAAAGAATTAAAATCATCATACTATAAGGGTACATGCATACCCATATATATAGCAGCACAATTAAAAACAGTCAAACTATCAGCCTAGGTGTCCATCAATGGAAGAATGGATAAAAAAAATGTGATGTACAAACAAGATGGAGTTTTATTCGGTCATAAAGAAAAATGAATTATGTCATTTGCGGGAAAATGTATGGGACTGGAGACCATTTATGTTAAGAGAAATAAGTCAAACTCAGAAGGTGAAGGGTCATGTGTTTTCTCTTATATGCAGAAGCTGCAGAGGAAAAAAGAAAAGAAAGGTAGGAGGGTTAGGGATCCCATAGAAAATTAAAGGGTGCAATTGTGTTCACAACAGCCGCTGCACTGCGATTACAGAAGTAATTGCAGTAAGTCCACTGAACTTCTGATAAGCAAGCTCCCCTTCCAGCGTCTGGTGCAAGAAATTGCTCAGGACTTCAAAACAGATTTGCGCTTCCAGAGCGCAGCTATTGGTGCTTTGCAGGAGGCAGGTGAGGCCTATCTGGGTCTTTTTGAAGAGACCAACCCTGTGTGCTATCCAAGCCAAATGTGTAACAATTATGAGAAAAGACATCCAACCAACACGCTGAATATGTGGAGAATGTACTGGAGAATTCACATGATGAGCCAGGAATGGTGGTGCAGCTTGGGAGGCTGAGGCAGGAGGATCGCAAGTTCAAACCCAGCCTCAGCAAGGGTGAGGTACTAAGCAACAGTGAGACCCTGTCTCTAAATAAAATACAAAATAGGTCTGGGGATGTGTCTCAGTGGTCGAGTGCCCCTGAGTTCAATTCCAGTACCAAAAAAAAAAAAGAGTTCACTATGGAAGGAAACATTTCATTCTCAAAAAATTTTTTTCTCTTCTTCTTGTTATTGGTAGTTCTGAACGATAGATATTTTTTTCCCATGGGGTCAAAAGGTACTTAAGTATATGACTGTGAGTGGAAAAAGAGGGGACAGAAATCAGGTACTGGCCGTTTTTCCATTTTCATTTGTGTGTGAAGTTTTACTATAAATTTTTAATATAAATTTTACTATAAATTTTTACTATAAAAACATTAGGCAAGTTAAAATGTCAGTGAACAAAGTTTCAGCAGTTCAAGTTTATAACAATTATAAATAAAACTGTTAAATTTTTCTGGACAATGCTGGCATTTGAATTTTTTTCAACAAGTAAATTTCTGATTGGCGGCAACTAAATGGTGTTTGTAGCATTTTTATCATACAGTAGATCCCATCCACTCACTATACTTTTCTAACGGAGTTGTCCTACATGCAAGTACATGGGTTTTTTATAACTTTTTTTTTTTAGTTGTAGTTGGACACAATACCTTTATTTTACTTATTTTTATGTGGTGCTGAGGCTCAAACCCAGTGTCTCGCACGTGCTAGGCAAGTGCTCTACCGCTGAGCCACACCCAGTCCCGAGTAAGTTTTTTTTCCTATTTATTTATTTATTTTGCATTACGATTCTTAATACACCATTATACAATAATTTATCATATCTCTGATTATATATAAGGTATGTTGACCCAAGTACGTTTTTAATGTTGTCTGTCTTCTATGCTGTTCCTGTTTTCTATTAAAATACATTAAACTAAAAATAAAAATTAAAAAATAATAAAATGAAAATCAAAGGGAGATCAGTAGAGGAAAGAGACAAGAAGATGAGAGGTGGGGAATGAGGGAGGAAATGCTGAGAAGTGATATTGGCAAAATTATGTTGTTATATTGTATGCATGTATGAATATGTAACAACAAATCCCAACATTATATACAACTCTAATACACTAATAAAACTGTGAAAAAAAAATAAACAAAATGTAAAAGAAAAAAAGAAAGAAAGATGGCTAACTAATTAACAGCTAAGATCTGAAAATCAACATGGTTACCATTGTACAATATATTATTCATATATAACATTTCATGGAATCTATGCTGCTGTTTATAAATATGCATTGCTATTTTATGTATCACTAAGAAAGAAAAACTGTCAGTTAACTTATTATTTCATATCATAATTTTAATTTTAAAATTTATTGAATGAAAAATTGGGGATTAAATGAAATGAAAATGGGGAGTTGAATAGTTGTATACAGGTGACAGGCACACAGGAGTTTATTATACAATCACTCTAATTATGTGTTCAAAGATTTTCCTTTAAACAGCTTTTTTTTTTTTTTTGAACTAGGGATTGAACCCAGGGGCAGTCTACCACTGAGCCACACCCCAAGCCCTTTTTCAGTTTTTATTTTGAGACAGGGTCTCACTAAATTGAAGAGGCTTTCCTTGAACTTGCAATCCTCCTGCCTCAGTCTCTGGAGTTGCTGGGACTAAGGAAGGTTCCACCAGGCCTGGCTCTATTTTAAAACATTTGAGCCAGGTACAGTGGTTCATGGCTGTAAATCCAGTGTTTCAGGAGGCTGAGGCAGGAGAATCATAAATTCAAGGCCAGCCTTTACAACTTAGCAAGACCCTGTCTCACAATAAAAATTTAAAAAGGGCTAAGGGTATAGCTCAGTGGTAGAGTGCCCCTGGGTTCAATCCCTAGTACTGAATGAATGAATGAATAAATCCTGAATCCTCCATTTTACTACTATCTTCACAATTTTTTTTCCAAATCACTGACATCCATTCTACAAGCATTGATGCTCATGTAGGCAAAGACAACATCGTGATTGCTTTCAGATGAACAGCAATTGTGAAATGCATCTGGATATCAAAATAGTTAAAAGGCGAAAAAAGATTTCCAAAATAGAAGATGTTTGCTAATTACAGTGCTGGGGATTGAACCCAGGGCCTCAAACATGCATAGTAAGTGCTCTACACTAAAGTTCATCTCCAGCCCCCCCCGCCCAATTTTTTAAAATCTTTTTTTAGTTTTCAATGGATCTTTTATTTTATTTATTTATATGTGGTGCTGAGGATTGAACCCAGGGCCTCACACATGCCAGGCAAGTGCTCTACCATTGAGCCACAACTCCAGGCCCTCCAATTTTTTTAAAATTATTTTTTTAGTTGTAGTTGGACACAATACCTTTATTTTTATTTGTTTTTATTTTTATGTGGTGCTGAGGATCGAACCCAGCACCTCGCACGTGCTAGGCAAGCGCTCTACCGCTGAGCCACAACCCCAGTCCCCTCAATTTTTTTATGTAAAAAAAATTAGAACTGATGAAAATGGAACCATAAAAACAGCATACTACAGGGATACAGCCACATCAATGTTTATAGCAGCACAATTCATAATAGCTAAACTGTAGAACCAACCTAGATGCCCTTCAGTAGATGAATGGATTAAAAAAAAATGTGGTATATATACACAATAGAATATTATACTACATTAAAAGAGAATAAAATCATGACATTTGCAGGTAAATGGATGAAACTGGAGAATATAATGCTAAGTGAAATTAGCCAATCCCCAAAAGCCAACTGAATGATTTCTCTGACTTAAGGATGCTGATCCATTATATGCTGCAGGGGGTAGGGGACAGGGGGGATTAAATGAACTCTAGATAGGGCAAAGGGGAAAAGGGGAGGGAGGGGAAAGGAGGGAGCATAGGGGTAGGAAAGACGGTGGAATGAGATGGTCATCATTACTCTAAGTACATGTATGAAGACACGAAGGATGTGACTACTTTGTGTACAACCAGAGATATGAAAAATTGTGCTCTATATGTGTAATATGAATTTTAATGCATTCTGTTGTCAAACCAATTAAAATTAAAAACAAAAATAACAAGTGGAACCAATATATGGCATCCATCATAATTACCACATAGTCCTAACAATGTAATAACAAAATGAAATACAAAATTAAGAAACCTTATTCTATAGACTATTTATCCAATGGCAATGATAAAACTATGTAAGACCAGTCATATTCTTTTTTCTTTTTGTCCCCTCATTTTTTAATTGGTGCATTGTATGGTACATACTGATGGGATTTGTTGTTACTTATTCACACATGCACACAATATAACTTGGCCAATATCACTTCCCAGCATTTCCCACCCCCCCCACCTCCCATACCATGGTCTCTTTCCTCTACAAGATCAGTTATATTCTTATCTAGTCCCTATTGTTACCAACAGATTGAATGTACAAAATATGTAGCTGGTGTTGCAAATATAATTTAACACACAAAGAAGGCTTGGCACAAATAAATATTCCTTGAATAAATAAACAAGGTCCAGGACAAAATACTGATAGTATTATCAGTGTTAAATTTCCTGAGTGGCATCAAGTATTGTGGTCATGAAAGACACTGACACTTTTCTTTAGAGACACATGCTTAAGTATTTATGGGGGTATGTCATGATGTCTACAACTAATTCTCAAATTAGTTTTGAGAGAAACTATATTCATGTGTAAAGAGGAAGGAAGCAAATGTGAACAAAATGTGAACAGTTGGTGAAGCATATGAGTGGTTCAATGTACTTTTTAGAAGTTTTGTGAATTTTTCAAAATAAAAAGTTGTAGGGAAAAAAAAGGAAAACTAAATCACTTAAGTCTGAACCACTGAAGAAGGCCTTTTTTAGTTTTCAGTGGACACAACCTCTTTTTTTTTTAATATTTATTCTTAAGCTTTAGGTGGACACAATATCTTTATTTTACATTTATATGGTGCTGAGGATCGAACCTGGTGCCTTGTGCATGCTAGGTGAGCACTCCACCACTGAGCCACAACCCCAGCCCACAACCTCTTTATTTTACATTTATGTGGTGCTGAGGATTGAACCAAAGCGCCCCACTCATGCCAGGCGAGCGCGCTACCACTTGAGCCACATCCCCAGCCTGAAGAAGGCCTTTTAGAGAGACACCTAACCACCAGACATTCTCCTTTACCTGCTGTATTCAAACATCGATGAAGAGGAGCTAACATTGGCTGAAGCAAATACTTTGCTGCCAGTTGTGGCTGTTCTCTCGACATAGTTATAAAGGTAGTGGTAGAGACTCTTTGAAATTGCTGTACTGTCAATTTATCTTGAAAATGAAATAAATCCAAAATCTACAAGAAAAATCACATAAAGCAAATATCAGGGTCTTTGCAAGGAACATGACAGTAATTAAGAGGAAAAAAACATTTATTTCTTTAGCCAAAAAAGAAAGTTGCAGTGATAACACTGACTTAACAGAATGGCTTTAACAATCCACTACCAAAGGGTGTAAGCGCTGAAAAGATTGGGTGTTTATTAATAAGTTTTTCAAATTTATAAAATGTAGATTCACTTCTGGGTGGAGTGCCACAGGACTGTTATCCCAGCAATTCAGGAAGCTGAGGAAAGAGGATTCCAAGTTTTAGGGGAAACTCAACAAATTAATAAGACACTGTTTCAAAATAAAAAAACAGCTCTCTCCCTTTGGAAATGCCTTGCATTCTCTCTTAAATATGTTCTTCTTACTTTATTCTCAAAAAATCTCTCCTTTGAGATAGCCCACATTCTTCCTTGAATGTGTATCTGCTTTCATAAATCTATGTATCTGAAAAATAAAATATAATAAAAAGGGCTGGGGATGTAGCTCAGTGGCATTCTACTTAGATTAGATCCCCAGTACCACCAGGAGAAAGAGAAAAAGAAGGATAATGAAACTATTTCAGGTTCTAGCTCTGAGAGCAATTTGAGCTAGTTATTTAATAATGGTGTGTTTGTTTGGTTTTGGGGGTGCTGGGGATCAAACCCAGGGCTTCATACAAGCTAGGCAAGTTCTTGACCAGTGAGCTATGTCTTTGGCCCTGGTAAGGAGTTCTTTTTTTTTTTTTAAGTTATATATGGGCACAGTATCTTTATTTTGTTTTGTTTATTTATTTTTATGTGGTGCTGAAGATCGAACCCAGGGTCTCACACATAAGAGGGGAGTGCTCTACCGATGAGCTACAACCCCAGCCCCAGGAATTCTTAAATCTAAAAAATTAGGTCATTCTCTTCCACAGGTTTTTATTTACTTTTTTGAGAAGTTCCATAACTTAACAAAAAACTTAAATATTATAATACTCTTACTTCAATTTCAGAGGAACATTAAAAGTCCTTTTTCTAGCCAGGTGCAATGGCGCACGCCTATAATCCCAGCAACTCAGGAGACTGAGGCAGGAGGATCAAAAATTCAAAGCCAGCCTTAGCAACTTAGTGAGGCTCTAATCAGCTTAGAGAGACCCTATCTCAAAATAAAACATAAGCCAGGCACTGTGGCACATGCTTATAATCCTAGCGGCTCTGGAGGCTAAGGCAGGAGAATCACAAGTTCAAAGCTAGCCTCAGCAAAAGCAAGGTGTTAAACAATGGAGTGAGACCCTGTCTCTAAATAAAATATAAAACAGGGCTGGGGATGTAACTCAGTGGTTGAGTGCCCTGAGTTCAATCCCTGGTACCCAATCAATCAATCAATCAATCAATAAAAAGGGCTAGGATGTGGCTCAGTGATTAAGTGCCACTGGGTTCAAGCCCTGGTATTTAAAAAAAAAAAAAGTGTCCTTTTTTCTGTAAATAAGCAGATAGTCCTGGAATGGTCAAAAGAAACAAGACACTTCACCTGGGGACAGATGTTCCTGTAGTAACTCTCTGGTGAAAGAGACTGCTGGGGACATGCGGCCAGAATCTTTGCAATCAAGTCACACTTCTTCCAGTCAGCAGCTGTTGCCTCAGCATCACTTCCGCCAGCTGCTCCAGCTGTCACAATGGAGAGAGATGTCAAACATTCACAGCAATTTCCTATGTAAGGTTCTATGTGACAAATCTGCATTAAATTTAGGATAAAGAGTGTTTCTTTTCTCTATTAGAAATTGTTTATTTCTCCCAGAGACTCAGGAGGCTGAGGCAGGAGGATCTCAAGTTGAAAGCCAGCAACTTAGGGAGGCCCTAAGCAACTCAGACCCTGTCTCAAAATAAAAAATAAAAAGGGATGGGGATATGGCACAGTGTTTAAGTACCCCTGGGTTCAATCCCCAGTAACAAAAAAAAGAAATTGTTTATTTCTTCTGCAAGATAATCTGCCCCTCTGTACTTTTCTTTCTTTCCTTTCTCCTTCTCTCCCTTCCTCTCCCTTTCTTCTTTTTTGGTGGTACTAAGGATTGAACCCAGTGGCACTCTTACCACCACTGAACTAAATCCCCGGCCTATTTTATTTTTTCAGACAGGGTCCCACTAAATTGCAGAGGCTGGCCTCCAATTTGCAATCCTCTTGCCTCAGCCTCCCAGGCAGTTAGAATTGCAAGCATGCTCCACTATGCCCAGCTGTACTTTCCTTCTGGAAAAGTCAGAGGAAAAAAAATAGCATTGAATCACTGTACTAATATTATTCATGTGATGTGAATACAGGCTTCTCAAGTGTTTATCTCTGAATATGTATTTCATTTAAACTTACTTAAACTATAGCCATTCTTAAGCAATTATAATACTGGAAAAATATATAAACAGTGGTTTTTAGAAACTGAACTACAGGCAGCCCAGGACACTGATCACTGAGAGAAGAGAAGCAAACTAGGCAAACCTGATAATTATTCTCACTACTTGGGGAGAATTTTCAGCCCTAGCCCATAAAGGGTAGCCCAAATGAACTGTTCACTGGGTCAAAGAAACATAGTCAGAGGGCTCCTCTATCAAGTCTTTGATTTGCATATGTAGGTGAGGAAAATACCCCAAGGCCAAGGAAAGCACTAACAGAAAGAAGTAAATGTGATAGTTCTCAAGTTCATAAATGGGTAAGAAAAATTTGTGTTTCCACTTACCAGCATAGAAAGACCTCCTAATACACAGGATATCAAATAGAGTCCTAGGAAGGTTTTATTGCCTTAGTAATGAAGTCAAATTACCTTAAACTGAAAATTTGCTCTAGAATCACACTAACAATGTTGAAAAGCCAGGATCACAAGCTGAGGACGTGCCTCAGGGTTAGAGCACTGGCCTAGCACTTACAAGGCCCTAGGTTCAAACCCCAGCACCACCAAAAAAACAAAAGGCCAGGACAAAGGGATCAAAAAGATCCCAACACACTTCAATGTATCGCTGAATAAAACCCAACAAAGGTATACAACAAAATCTAGCACCTAACAATGTAAAGTAAAAACACACAGCATCAAGTCAAAAATTATCAGTCAAGCCAGGTACATGCCTGCAATCCCAACAACTAGGGAGCCTGAGACATGAGGATCACAAATTTGAGGCCAGCTTCAGCAATTAAGCAAGGTCCTAAGCAACTCAGCAAGAGTCTGTCTCAAAATTAAAAAAAAAAAAAAAAGGCTGGGAATGTAGCTCAGTGGCTAAATGCCCCTGGATTAAATCCCTAGTACCCCCGCCACAAAAAAAAAAAAAAAGAAAAAAATTTACCAGGCATTATCAACACAATGGAATATCATTCAGTCATAAAAAATGAATAAAGGACAAAGCTGGCAGAGTGGTGCACACCTGTAATCCCAGTGACTCAGAGGCTGAGATAGGAGGATTGCAAGTTATAGGCTAGTCTTGGCAATTTAGCAAGATTCTGTATCAAAATGAAAAATAAAAAGAGGGCTAGGGATATAGCTCAGTTGGTAGAGTATTTGCCTCTCATGCACAAGGGTTCAATCCCTAGCACCACAAAAAAAACAAAAACAAAAAATAAAAAGGGCTGGTGATGTGACTCAGTGGTACAGCATCCTTAATTCAACTCCCAGCACCACCAAAAAACAAACAAATAAAGGAATAAATGACTGATTCATGATACAACATGACCAAACCTTAAAAACATGCTTAGTAAGCCAGGTGTGGTAACACACTCCTGTAATCCCAGAGACTCAGGAGGCTGAGGCAGGAGGGTTGAAAATTTGACACCTGACTCAGCAACTTAGCAACTTACCTATCTCAAAATAAAAAACTAAAAAGACCATGGATATAGATCACTGGTAAAATACTCCTGGGTTTAATCTCCAGCACACACATACACACACATAAAAGAGAATGACAGCAGAATTCTCAACAGGAGTCATACAAACCAGAAGACAACTCAGGGACATCCTTGAAGTATTAAAAAAAAAAAAAAAAAAGTAAACCCAGAATTTTGTACCCAGCAAAATATCTTTCAAAAATAAGGCGAGGTCTGGGGCTGGAGCTCAGGTGTAGCACACTTGCCTGGCATGTGTAAGGCACTGGGTTCGATTCTCAGCACTGTATATAAATAAATAAAATAAAGGTCTATCAACAACTAAAAAGATATTTTAAAAAACATAAAGTGAAGTAAAGACTTTTTCAGACAAAATAAAAGCTAAAAGAATTCACTGCCAGTAGACCTAAGAAATGTCAAAGGAAGTTTAGGCAAAAGGAAATTCGGATGGAAATTTGGATTTGCATAGATAAGTGAAAAGCGCCAGGCACAGTAGCCCTCGCCTATAATCCCAGCTACTCAGGAGGGTGAGACAGGAACATCACAGGTTCAGGGCTAACCTTATTAATTCAGCAAGACCCCATCTCAAAATTAAAAAAAAAAAAAAAAGAGCTGGGGATGTAGCTCAATGGCAGAGGTCTTGCCTGGCATTCATGAGGTCCTGAGTTCAGTCCCCAGTACTGCAAAACAAGCAAACAAACAAACAAAAAGTGAAGAGTACCAAAAATGTCAAATATGAGAAAAAAACAAGATATTACTAGATAACAGCAATACATACATGCACCAGTAGAAGGAAAAAGTTCAGAAATACAGGGTTCTAATTTTCTTGTAGCAGCTCTCCAATCTGCATGCTCTTGGATAAAGTCTAATACTTCTTTTCTTTTTTTGCAGTGCTGGGGGTTCAAACCCAGGGCCTCATACATATTAGGCAAATGCTCCCCACTACACTACACCTCCAACCCTCAGTCAGATTTTAAAGGCAAAGACTAGAGGCCAGTGATTCACCTCAAATCTGACTCAAAAGGAAATGGATAGCAAAGAAAGAGAAACATGCTATTTCTTACCGCCTGCTCCTTCCAAAATGCCCCGGACTACTGCCTGAACACCACTGGGTCTCATTAACCTTTCTGAGAGCAGCTGCCCACACAGACGCCGAAGCCAAGCTGGGGCCCGACATCTAAGCTGTGTCTTCACATCTGTGCAGGACTGATAAAAGGAAAGGAAGATATGAATCGTGAATATCAATGAAACAGATATAGTATATAGACGCTTTTTTCAAAGGTACTGGGTCATACTGACAACAGTGTACTGTACAGATTTGACAACAAAAACATTTGGGGCTAGGGATAAAGCTCAGTGGTAGACCATGTACTTAGCAAGTACAAGGCCCTACATTTAATCCCAGCACTTAAAAAATATTTTTTTCCTTAAAATAAAACAAAATACCAAGTCTCTCCTTTACAAAAACCTTTAGCATTACTTTTATTTTCTTTTTTGGGACTGGGGATTGAACCCAGGAGCACTTTACCACTGAGTTATATCCCCAGTCTTTCTTTTATTTTTTATTTTTGAGTCAGGATTCTGCTAAGTTGCTGAGGCTGGCCTCAAACTTATGATCTTCCTGTCTCAGCCTCCTGATTCGCTGGGATTATAGGCATGTGCTACTGTCACCAGGTCGGCATTAATTTTAAGAAAGTAGAAATACAGTGATTTATATATTAATGAAATTTCAAACCCAGAAAATGACAAACACATCAATGTTTAGTACGTAGAATTTGGGAATACAAAATTAATATGACCAATCTCTAAATGTAGTCCTTCCAATCAACTCTAACTTCCAAAGAAGATTCTTATGAATGTTATTTGCCATTAAGAGGGCAGTTTACAATAGTGAGGGAACATGCCAGACCTTGCCTCCATGATCTTGAATACTCTGATTCCCATGACCCAGCAGTTTCTAGAAAAAGCTGTATTTCTTCAAGGGCTCTTTTCAAAAGATCTGTGGAGCCATCATGAACAAAACAGACTTGGTGTTCTTCATTTTGGACTAGAATGTTAACCATATTGCTGACAACAATTGCACTTAACTATATAAACATCAAAATTAGTGACAGAAGGGATTGGGGATGTGACAGAAGGGGTTGGGGATGTGACTCAAGCGATAGCGTGCTCGCCTGGCATGTGTGCGGCCCGGTTCGATCCTCAGCACCACATACAAAGATGTTGTGTCAGCCGAAAAAAAAAATAAATTAAATAAATATTAAAATTTAAAAAAAAATTAGTAACAGAAATATTTAATCCTAGTTGTGGGATGTAGCCTAGCCTGTGTGAGACCCTGGGTTCAATCCCCAGCACTGTAAAAAAAAAAAAAAAAAAATTATAACTAGCTTGTCCTCTCTTTTATTTAACGAGGATTAATAACTACCATTTATTAAGAGGGCTGTGATGTGCTAGGCAGTATATTAAGTATCTCCCACAAAATCTCAAAAGGGACTTAAGAAGGAATGGAAAGGTTTACAAATTCATACACCTGCATGCTGGGGTTGAATTCCAGTGTGCCTAATCCCAGGGCCTCTGCTTTTCACGATGTTCTTATAACATGTTTAGTTTAATCTTGCAAACTGTGAACTCATTCACAGAAACAGTACGTGAGGCACAGAGGCCCAGTGGAAGGCTACCAAAACATTATAGGGATGAGATGGGGTCACTGGAGATACACGGTCAGTTGACTGTTGTTCTTACCTACAAGCTGCTTCTTTGGTTCTTCACTCTTTATGTAACTAGTTTCAAAACTAAAATTTAGGTACTAAAAGCAAATTAAATCATTTCAGATAAATTAGTTAAAAAACAAGAAAGAAACTATCTTATGCCTAGTTATATACTAGTACATTTTTATCTTTTAGTCAGGGTCTCACTAAATTGCTTAGGACCTCACAAAGTTGTTGAGACTGGCCTTGAATTTGTGACCAGCCTCCCCCAGCTGCTGGGATTGCAGGTATGCACCTCCACACTTGCCTCCACACCCGGATACTAGTCTGTGTTTTAAACAAAGGAGTTAAAAATAGAAACAATAATTGCTCTAGTTTTAATTTCTTAACTTCTAAAACTCCATTCAAAGAATAAGATGTCCAAATACTTCTACCAAAAGAATACATTGTAAACAGTTAAATTTTAGTTTTTTTAAAAAAGGATCTAGTTTCAGAATGAATAAAATGTATTTTACATAAAATTGCCATAGCCTGGGCTGGGGTTGTGGCTTAGTGGTAGAGTGCCCACCTAGTACTTGCGAGGCCCTAGGTTTGATCCTCAGCACTACATAAAAATAAAATAAAGATTGTGTGTCCACCTACAACTAAAAAATAAATATTAAAAAGAAAAAAAAACTGCCATAGCCTTAAAAAAGTGATCATAATATTCTTGGGAAAGTATCCATGATTCCACTAATGAAAAGGCATTTTATATTATTCTGAAGGTCAATGTCTTTTAGTTTTGTTTTGTTTTATTGTACTAGAGATTGAAGCTAGGGTAATTTACCACTGAGCTATATCCCCAGATTTTTTATTTTGAGACAGGATCTTGCTACATTGCTGAGAGTCTCACTAAATTGCTGAGGCTGATTTCAAACTTGTGATCTTCCTCCCTCAGCCTCCTGAGTCACTGGGATCACAAATGTGTACCACCATGCCCATGTGTCACTGAGTTTTATAAATACCATTTGACGATCTTAAAAAAAAAAAACAATGAAGGGCTGGGGATATAGCTCAGTTGATAGTGTTCTTGCCTCCTATGTACAATCCCCAGCACCACACACACAAAAAAAAGATCATTAAATAGGTAACTAAAATTATCTAATTTTCTAAGAGAACATAGCACACCACACATTAACAGTTCACCCAGGAAAATACCTGGGGAGGTCCTCCCTGGAGGATAAGTAATTCACGGACAGCCAATGGTTGATACACTTGATCCAAGAGGTCTCTCAAGGCCCCCCTGGATACAGTCCTTTCCTCTTCAGTTAAAACCTACAAAAAATATGGACTCAACTTTAGAGGAATACAAACCAGGCAGGAAATACAAGATAATATTTTACAACACCAAACAAAGGTTGTTATGAATGGAGAGAAAGGAAGACTTCTGTCCCCTCTTGACTTCCTTCCACATGGAGGAAGCTGTCTACAAAAACACTCCTGGCCCTCTCTCCATCCCCAGTCACTCCCCTTCTAGGCAAGAGATATGGCTTATCTTACTGGTGACTACTGAATACATTCGATCACTAGCCAGTTTTGATATGCACTGTTCAGCTCACTCCTCTTCTGTCTTGTGAGAGTGAGTTCACATTCTGTTCTGCTCAGTCTTGCTGAGCAGGGGCAAATCCCCCTGCCATAAGGCAGAAGGCAATGTAGTTTTCCAGCACTGCTGAAACTGGTAAATAGTAAATATGTCTAATTCTGGAGTGTATCATTAGGAAATGTCTCCATCATAAGTTATCTCCTCCCACTGTCTTTATAAGCAACAGAGGTGATGTTTTTCTGGAATCTTCTCTCTTTCTTTCCTTTCTTTCTGTACTGGGGATTAAACCCAGGGATGTTAGACAAACATTAGGCATACTAAGCAACCACTCTACTACTGAGATATATACCCAGCCCAGAGGTAATATTTTTTACTTTTCATCTCTCTTATTTTGTTAGCTAGTGTTTTCACTCATTCAGAACTTGGACAGTAAACAGAGGTTCTATTCTGGGGCACATCTGAGTCCCAACAGTATAGTCTCCCTTTGGTAATTAGCACTCACAGTGAAACAGTCAAGGTCTTGCCTATTACATGTAGTACACTACGATGTGAGGGCTACTCAGAGCAGCAGCTATTGGTGGAACTTTTTCCAGCTTTACAATGTACATTCACCAGGTTGCCCCTCTGTCAATTCTTATCCCCTTTCCTACTTCGTTTTTGGTTTCCCTTTTCTTTTCGTCTCCTGCCTAAGACTCCTGCAACATTGCTTAGCCTCAGAAATAGCACACAGATCTGTTGACCCAGGTGCTCCATCTCAGGGAAATGCAGGCTGTAGGCACTGCTAGAACTGTCGAGATGCACTGCCTTAAAATAAAGAGCACAGGGCTCTGTTGAAGCATTAAGGGAGCTCATAATTTTGGGCCACTTCTTGGATAATAGTGGCTTTTCGGCAAATGATTATAAACACAGAAAAAAGTGAATAAACAGGAAAGGAACAAGTATGAGGGTGACACAAGCACATGAAAGAGAAGTGAGGGCATGGAGCAACCTGGCTGTGGCAGCTAAGGATCACCAGAATATAGGCCACCCTGACCCCTGCTTCATTTATATCTTAACAGTTTCTGACTAATTCCTATGTTGACAAATGATGTCCTTCAACCCCCTGCCCCCCCAAAAAAGATGCATTTACCCATTGTCTATCCTTTAGCATTCAATAGGAACTCCAGATCTTTCAATAGGCCCGTTTCAAAGAACTAAGAGTTATCTTTTGTAACAACCAGACACAAACACACATATTCTCTCTCTCCATCTCTCTCTCCATCTCTCAATGTATGTTTACCTCTTCCATGGGTGTTAGTGGTTTTTTGGTTGGGCAGAATCCCAGCTGGCACAGACCTGCTGCGATATCCCCAAAGTGGCGACAGAAAATCAAGCTCCCAAGAGATTTGTGCTGCCCAACACTGAGGAGGGCCTTGCAGCTGGTATACAGTCTCCGGGTTGCATGGGGAGCAACATCCAAACGCACGACGTCTTGAACAACGGCACCAAACTCAGTCCTATATCTCAAAGGAACTCCAACACCAGGCATCAGATAGGGACAGACACCCCAAATGACTACAAATTGTAAAATGGACTGGACCATCTTCTGTTGTGAGATACTAAGTGTATCAGGGCTTAGGGCAGGAGCGACTTCTGGAGTCCTAGGGTTGGGTTTACCTGGATTGAAGGCAGCTGCAAGGCGGATCATGGTTTCCTTCAAGCACAACAGCAACAACAAGGCTTGAGAGGTAAAACTCCAAGTGATGTCCACAGAGTTTTGTGGCCATTCTGCCTTATTAACAATTTCATCTCTTAGTAGTTTCAATTTCTTCCACTGAGGATCCTTCAGAAGTTTATCCTCCAAGGCAGACAGATTAGATTTTAAAGTAGCCAATAAGATATCATGCTTTGTAATCTGTAAGGAACTTGAGCCTGATCCTTTTGAAATTAAAAAAAAAAAAGGAGATTATATGTTATATGCAGGGAAAATAAATTATACTTCCTTCTGTGTGGAATGCCTTGCCACCCTACCCAGAAGACTGGAAGTAAGAAAACAAAACAAAACAAAAAAAACACAAAAAAACAGATGGAGCATGGATTTTTAGGGAGGTGAAACCATTCTTAAAAATAATTTTGCCTTCGTGTGATGGCACATACCCATAATTCCAATGATTCAGGAGGCTGAGGCAGGAAGATCATAAATTTGAGATCAGCCTCAGCAACTCAGCAAGACCCTGTCTTAAAAATGAAATAAAAAGATGCAGGCCACAGTGGTACACGCCTGTAATCCCAGCGGCTTGGGAGGCTGAGACAGGAGAATTGTGAGTTCAAAGCCAGCATCAGCAACTGCGAGGCACTAAGCAACTCAGTGAGACCTTGTCTCTAAATAAAATACAAAAATAGGACTGGAGATGTGGTTCAGTGGTTGAGTACCCCTGAGTTCAATCCCCAGTAGAAAAAAAAAAAGAAGAAATAAAAAGAACTGGGGATGTAGCTCACTCAGCGATAAAGCACCTCTGGTTTCAATCCCCCTCTGAGTCCAATACCCAGTACCAAACACACACACACACACACACACACACAAAATAATTATGTACAGTATTATAATAGTATATACAGACATTATATATTTGTTCAAGTTCATAGAACTGTATACTACCAACTGAGAACTCTAAAGCAAATTATGGATTTTAGTTAATAAAAATATATCAAGATATGTTAATCAATTATAATACACATACCACACTAATGTTAATAATAGGGGAAATTAGGATTGGGGTGGAGAAAGGAATATGAGAACTCTCTCTACTTCCTGCTCATATTTTCTATAGACTTAAAGATGATGTAAAAAATAAAATCTAGTTGTGTGGGACAGCACACACCTATAATCTCAGCAACTCAGGAGACTGAGGCAGGAGGATAGCAAGTTCAAGGCCAGCCTCAGCAACTTAGCTAAGACCCTATCTCAAAATAAAAATTAAAAGGACTGGAATGTGGCTCAGAAGTAAAACACCCTTGGGTTCAATCCCCAGTGCCTAATAAATAAATAAAACAACATTGTTCTTACATTTTTTTTTTCTTTACAGTGCTGGAGATCAAACCTAGTGCATGTTAGGCAAGCACTCTACCACAGAGCTACATCCCCATTACCATTGTCCTTTCAAAATAATGAGAACCAGAATAGTAAGAATATTTCTCTAGAGCTGTCCAGAGTTAGTGTTCTAATCCACTAGTTTTAAAATCTGATTCCTTGGGCTGAGGTTATGGTTCAGTGGTAGAGTACTTGCCTAGCACATGTGAGGCATTGGGTTCAAACCTCAGCACCACATAAAAATAAACAAATAAAATAAAGGCATTGTGTCCAACTACAACTCAAAAAAAATTTTTTAAAAAATCTGATTCCTCGGGCTGGGGTTGTGGCTCAGTGGTAGAGCGCTCGCCTAGCATGTGCAAGGCCTGGGTTCGATCCTCAGCACCACATAAAAATAAATAAAATAAAGATGATATTGTGTACAACTAAAAAATAAATATATTTTTTTAAAAAATCTGATTCCTTTAGTTCATATATACCCAAAAAGGAAATGGATGCTCTCATGGCTTCTTGCCACTAAACATTAAATCACTAACCTATCTCTATATGACTTCCTGTAACTTTATAAGATCTTTGAACCCAAACATGGGACACAAAGAAGGTGATTTGAAACAAAAGCTCTTACTTAAGTATGATCCAAGAGCCTCTTAATAAAGTAGTCTTTTCTGCCCTCTACTGGTGATGAAAATGAAATCTATGGTCCTTGAAAATAAATGGAAGCACTCCCTTAAAGCAGTGGTTCTCAGTGTGGGTTTGAGAGGGTTCCAAAAATTCCCTCAGGGGGTCTTCAAAGTCAAAACTATTTCATAAAGGGCTGGGGGTAAGGCTCAGCGGTACAACACCTGCATGTGTAAAGGCCTGGGATCAATTCCCAGCACCACAAAAAAAAAAACAACAAACTATCTTGTTATGACATTATTTGCCATTCTACTCTCATTTTCTTATGATTTCACAAAGGATGAAAAGCTCATTAATATGAGTTCAGAGTCTATACTGGTAAGAAAACATCTTGTTGAGTTTTAGTATATTATACAGGAAAAATATAAACAACTATCTGAAAATGTGATTGAAATCCCTCCCTTTTTTTCAACTACATAGCTATGTGAGTCTCAGGGATCTGTCACTTACTTCAACCAAAACAATCAGGATCGACTGAATGGAGCAGACATAAAAATCTAGCAGTGCCAGGGGCTGGGGTTTTGGCTCAGAGGTAGAGCACTCACCTAGCATGTGCAAGGCACTGGGTTCAATCCTCAGCACCACATAAAAATAAAATAAAGATATTGTGTCCACCTATAACTAAAAAACACATATTTTAAAAAATCCAGCTGTGCCAGCATACCCCTGTAATTCCAGCTACTTGGGAGGTTGAGACAGGAAGATGGCAAGTTCAAGATCAGACTGGGCAATTTAGAGAGATTATCTCAAAATTAAATTTTTTTTTAAAGGGTGGGGGTTGGAGCCTGATGATGAAGCACTTGCCTCCATGAACAAGACCCTGAGTTCAATCCCCAGCATCTCTCTCTCTCTCTCTCTCTCTCACACACACACACACACACACACACACACACACAGCTGTAGGCTGGGGATGTAGCTTCGAGGTAGAGTGTTTGCCTAGCACATGTAAGGCTGAGGATTCAATCTTTAAAAAAAAAAAAAATCTTCTAATAAGCCACACATCAAATATTAAAACAAAACAAAACAATGATGCTCTTCCCTCTAGTCATTTTTCATTTAAAATGTCATTATTGAGTTGGGATGTAGCTCAGTGGTAATGCATCCCTAGGTTTAATCCCCAGTACTACAATCCCAGCAGTTTGGGAGGCTAAGGCAGGAGAGTTGAAAGTTCAAAGCCAGCCTCAGCAAGGTGCTACGCAACTCAGTGAGACCCTATCTCTAAATAAAATACAAAATAGGGCTGGGGATGTGGCTCACCACCCCACCCCCAAATTCATTGTGTTAATATGTAAAGGGTTTATTGTTACTTTTAAATAAATCTTTTAAAGGTGTTTCTTAATTAAAAATTAATTTTTAGTGCAGTAAACGTTGACACATATATACCACATAAAAGCTCTTTGAAGCCCTCAACATTTTTTTTTTTTAAATTCACCAACAATTGATAGATACTAGGGATTAAACTCAGGGCACTCTACCATTGAGCCACATCCCCACCCCTTTTAATTTTTTATTTTGAGACAGAGTCTCACTAAGTTGCTTAGGGCCTCACTAAGTTGCTGAGGCTGGCCTTGAACTTTCATTCCTTCTATCTCAGCCTTCTTAGTCACTGGGATTACAGGCCTATACCACCACTCCAGGTTTGGCCTTACTTTTTATAAACTAAATTTCACTAATATTAACAGTCTTCAAATTCTGCTTAATACAATTCATAACAATGGAGGTGAAGATATCCTTATTTGTTCCATGGTTGATAAAATACACTAAACTGGGTACACCTTTAATCCCAGTAACTTGGAAGGCTGAGTGCTAAGGATTACAAGTTCAAGGCCAGCCTGGGCAATTTGGCAAGACCCTATATCAAAATTATAAAAAAAAATATAAAAAATTAAAGACTGGGATGTAGCTCAGTGGTAAGGCATCCCTGGGTTTAAACCTCAGTACTACAAATACAAACATTCTCTCTCTCTCTCTCTCTCTCTCTCTCTCTCTCTCACACACACACACACACACACACACACACATGAAAGACAGGGGAATAGAAAATGCTTAAAGTAACAGAACTTTTGAAGGTCAAAAGTAAAACCTTGTTGGATGTTTTCCTTCTTTTCGTCTACTTGGAATCCAGCCTCAATTCCTCTTTCTTCTATGATTCTTAAGTCTCACCCACACATAACTTCTCCATTCAGTTGTTGTTACATATGCCACCCATTGACCACTTGTTATCCTGCCGTGTTGGAAATCTCCCCAAATAGACAAGATGCAGACAGCACACTGTGTTTATATATATATATATGTATATATATATATATTTATATATACACACACACACACACACACAATCTTTATGTATTTATTTATTTATTATGTGGTGCTGAGGCTCAAAACCAGTACCTCACACATGCTAGGCAAGCGCTCCACCACTGAGCCACAACCCCAGCTCCTATTTTTGTATTCCAAAAGCACTGAGGAAAGAATATAAATTGACTCCTTGTAAATATTACTTCAAAGATAGTGATCAAAATAGGTAGACAGATCAAAAATGTTTAATTCAGTTGTATATAATTGTATATAAACAATACTTTCTTCCTATCTCCTCAAGACCCTATGTTCATCAGGGCCATTCTTATTATGTACAGGTACTTCTAAATTCCCTTAGCAGCTAATAGGATAAGAAAAAAAACAGCTCAGGGCTGAGGATGCGGCTCAAGCGGTAACGCACTCTCCTGGCATGCACGGGGCACTGGGTTCCATCCTTGGCACCACATAAAAATAAAATAAAGATGTTGTGCCCACCAAAAACTGATTAAAAAAAAAAAGAAAACAACAGCTCAGTGGTAGAACATGTGCTTAGCATGCACAAGACCCTGGGTTCAATCCCAGTACAAAATATTAAATGAAAGGGAACAGAAGGCAGGTTTACACAACATATAATAGATTATATATACAAAATAATATGATCTTACCACATCACTTATTCTTTTTCAAATAGGAATAAGTCAAATGAATATGCATATATAACTTTACCACATAGCCTTAGAGATTAGAAGGGCCTTCTGTAAATGAAGTTATATGTGTTTTGTGATAGATGACTACTTCCAAGTTTCTGCTTATCTAACCTTCTTCTCAATGGTATTGAATATAACTACAGTTGCTAAACAAGTGACCTCTCCTTTAGCAAATTAAAGTATATTTTGCAGTTTGACTCTAACTTGGGGGGCAATGTAGTATGTTTACCATGTTTTTAGTGGAAGAAACCTAAATTCAAATCTTAGCTCTGCCACTTCTTAGTTTTACGTTGGGCAATTTCCAATGTACCTGAGCCTTGGTTCCTTCATTTATAAATATAGAGCACAGGGCTGGGGATGTGGCTCAAGTGGTAGCGCGCTCGCCTGGCATGCGTGCGGCCCGGGTTCGATCCTCAGCACCACATACAAATAAAGATGTTGTGTCCGCCGAGAACTAAAAAATAAATATTAAAAAAATTCTCTCTCTCTCTCTTTAAAAAAATAAATAAATAAATATAGAGCACAAGTAACACCTCTATGATGGGACTGTTGTGAAGATTAAATGATATATACATAAACAGCATACTATGGAGAGTGGCACTTAGCACTCATTTACTATTATTAATAACTTCTTTTCAGTTACCATTAGTATGGTTGTTGTTATGACCAGGGATTGAACCCAGGGGCATTTAACCACTGAGCTATAACCCCAGCCCTTTTTATTTTTTATTTTGAGATAAAGTCTCCCTAAATTGTTTAGGGCCTCACCAAATTGCTGGGGCTGACTTTGAACTTGTGCCTCCTGCCTCAGACTCCCAAATAGCTGGGATTACAGGTATATGGCACCTCATCCTGCTCCCATTAACATAGTGTTAATGTTTGCAGCTGTTGCAATTTTAGGTCAAATACTGTGACTGAGGGATTGGGGTTGTGGCTCAGTGGTAGAGTGTTTGCCTAGCATGTGTGAGACCTCAGCACCACACAATAAATAAATAAGGTTTTTTGTCCATCTATAACCAAAATAAACACACACACACACACACATCATCATCATCATCATCATCATCTTTAAAAATATTGTGACTGAGAACATCATCTTATGGACTTTCATGTGCTTTTACCTTACTAATCCTAAAATCCTTTCCCCCACTATATATATTTCAATTATGAGCAGGGCTCTATTGCTGCTTTTATTCATTTTTTGTGTGAGTGATACTGTGAATTGAACCCAGAGCCTAGGCACATACTAGAAAAGTGTTCTACCTCTGAGTTACACCCCCATCCTTTTTTGGGGTGAGGGGAATACTAAGGATTGAACTGAGGGGCCCTCAATCACTAAGCCACATCCCCAGCCCTTTTTTGTATTTATTTTACTTAGAGACAGGATCTCACTGAGTTGCCCAGCGCCCCGCTGTTGCTGAGGATGGCTTTGAACTTGCAACCCTGCTGCTTTGGCCTCCCAGGCCCACTGGGATTACAGGCCTACACTACCCCGACCGGCTACCCACCCATCCTTTTTATTTTTTATTTTTTTTATTTTTTTTTAATTTTGTTTTTTTGGTGGTGCTGGGGATTGAACCCAGGGCCTTGTGCATACAAGGCAAGCACTCTACCAACCGAGCTACAACCCCAGCCCCCCACCCATCCTTTTTAAAAATTTAACTTTGAGACAAGTTCAGGCTAACTTGCCCAGGCTGGACTTATATTTTCCATCCCTTTGCCTCAGTTGAAATCACCTGTGCCACAGTGCCTTCCTACCAGGGTTCTACTTCTTAAGTCCTTTCCCAAAGTTCCAAAGCTCCAGACAGTACCAGAGGTTTCATATTCAATAATCTGACTTGGTCCAAGAAGAGGATGAGATAGGGCTGGGGTTGTGGCTCAGTGGTAGAGCGATCGCCTAGCATGCTCGAGGCACTGGGTTCGATCCTCAGCACCACATAAATGTAAAATAAAGATATCGTGGGGCTGGGGCTCAGTGGTGGAGCACTTGCCATGCAAGTGTGAGGTACTGGGTCCGGTCCTCGGCACCACATAAAAATAAATAAAGATGTTGTGCCCATCTACAACTAAAAAATATTTAAATATATATATATATATATATATATATATATATATATATATATATAGTGTCTACCTAAAACTAAAAAATCGATGAGATAGTCTTCTAATTTGATTGAGAGAGAGAGAGAGAGAGAGAGAGAGAGGATCTCTATAAATTGATCTTCCTGCCTCAGACTCCCAAATCGCTGGGATGACAGGAATGACAGGCGTGCGCCACAGCGCCCCGCTGGACCCCATGAATTTGGGGTTACTTAATGACTTCCAAACGCCACCACCTGTCCTCTGTGGTAAAAGAGTGCGAGGCTCAACTCTTGCCAAGGTATCTCCAGATTCTAAATTGGGAAGATCTTGTTAACTCAGCACAGAAGATTCAACGTGACTGTAAATCCCTCCTACCAAATTGGAAACCTGTTTACTCTCCCCAAAACCCCTCAAACTTCAAACTTCACCGCTTCCCATTTCGGGACTCCATGGCATTCTGTACAAATCTCTAGCGTCCACACCAGGCCCCGGGCCCTCAAGCGATTAGGACCTCACATGCCACCTCTGGGCGCCTGAATCCCTCTGAGGCTGTTTCCTCAGCGCCAGCTCCTGAGAGGTGCAGAATGAAATAATGGACCCCGGGCGCTTAAAAGTGCCTGGCGCGGAGAAGCTCTCAAAAGATGTTGCTAGTAACAGTCTTGGACAGCTCCCATGCCCTCCTTGAGCCTCAGTCTCCCCAAGTTTGAAAAGAGCCTGGACAATGCCCAAATTCCCTCAGCGCAGGGTCCCGAGAAAGCCTGAGGGGCGCACGCTGAGGGAGCAAGGCGGCGCTGGAAAAGTGGCGGGCCCAGCCCGGTGTCGAGATGCGTCTTCTCACCTCCCGGGCTCAACAGCAATTTCAACCCTTCCAGAATCTGGTCCAGACCGCACGTCTCCACAGCCCCGCTGCCTACCGCCTGTCCCGGGGCCGCCATGACTGGAGTGGAATATGACGCCTGCGCGCTGCTCAAGCGCCCTGGTGGAACAGCGCTGTCGCCATGTTGAGTGCGGCTGGAGGGCTGTGCGCGGCGTGGGGCGGGGCCAACTCGGTCAGGAACGCCCCCTTCGCATAAATATTGGTTTGGGGTTACCTTTCCTCCCTGAGCCTGGTGATGGACGAAGCACCACACAGTTTTAGAACTCAGTATGAAAAATTGCCGGATAAAGCAGAAGATAGCGAGGCAGGAGGATCACGAGTTCCAGGACATCCTGGACAACTTGGCAAGACGCTGTCTGAAAATAAAAAATGAAAAGAGGGCTGAGGATGTAGCTCAGTGGTAAGTCAACCCTGGGTTCAGTCCCCACTCCTGGAAAAAGAGAGCAAGGGAGGGAGAGAGAGAGAAGGGGGGGCGTTTATCATAAAATAATATATATTTCTGCCGGGCATGGTGACAGACACCTATAATCTTACTGACTCGGAAGGCTGAGGCAGGAGGATCGCAAATTTGAGGCCAGGCTAGTCCACTTAGTGAGATTTTTTGCCTCAAAATAAAAAATAAAAAGAACTGGGTATATGGCTCAGTGGTTCAATGCCGAGTATTGCGAATAAATAAATCCCCAGTCCCATGATGTATTTCAATATGAAAATACTTGTGTATTGCAACATGGAAAGGCAAAATGAGGTGCTTACATCTACTTATAGATGAGTTTGAATAAATGAAACTATTCAATTGAATATTGCTGACTTCTTTGTGACATCTAAAAATATATACAAAAAAAGAATAAATATATACATATATATGACCATGATGGATGTAATAGCTACAGATGTTGATATTGGTGATATAGTTTTTGAAAGGGACTTCCAAAATTGATCTTTGTTCTACTTATCTGCTTGTTGTATTCCTAGAAAATTCAGAGTAGCAGGTGCAGTGGCACATACCTGTAATCCCAACAATTCTTGAGGCTAAGATAGGAGAATTAAAAGTTCAAGACCAGCCTCAGGAACTTAAGGAGGCCCTAAGCAACTTAGCCAGAACCTGTCTCAAAATAAAAAATAAAAAGGGCTAGGGATGTAATTCAATCGTAGAGTGCCCCTGGGTTCAATCCCCAGTACCAAAAAGAAAGAAAATTATAAAACAGTGCCCCCACAAATTGTGTTTACATATAAGACAGAATGAATTTAAAACTCAGACAATCAGAAACAAGTTTTTCACCTACATAAATCGTGATGGGGTATTCATAAGTTGCAGGACAATGCTTCTAAGGGCAGAACCTTTATTTTTGCCTGAGTCTTCCATCATTAAAAGTTGATTATGATGCCCTATCAATGTTGCAAGAACACCACCCCCACTCTCACCACCCACTTTGAGAAAATTCTCCCTGAGACCCTGTAGTCTTGATTTCTTTTTATTATTATTATTATTATTATTATTATTATTAGTTGTTCAAAACATTACAAAGCTCTTGGCATATCATGTTTCATACATTTGATTCAAGCGGATTATGAACTCCCATTTTTACCCCATATACAGATTGCAGAATCACATCAGTTACACATCCACTTTTTTACATACTGCCATACTAGTGTATGTTGTATTCTGCTACCTTTCCTATCCTCTACTATCCCCCCTCCCCTCCCCTCCCCTCCCATCTTCTCTCTCTACCCCATCTACTGTAATTCATTTCTTTCTCTTGTTTTTCCCCCCTTTCCCCTCACTTCCTCTTATATGTAATTTTGTATAACAATGAGGGTCTCCTTCCTTTACCATGCAATTTCCCTTCTCTCTCCCTTTCCCTCCCCGCTCTCGTCCCTGTTTAATGGTGATCTTCTTCTCATGCTCTTCCTCCCTGCTCTGTTCTTAGTTGCCCTCCTTATATCAAAGAAGACATTTGGCATTTGTTTTTTAGGGATTGGCTGGCTTCACTTAGCATAATCTGTTCTAATGCCATCCATTTCCCTGCAAATGCCATGATTTTGTCATTTTTTTAGTGTTGAGTAATACTCTATTGTGTATAAATGCCACATTTTTTTTATCCATTCATCTATTGAAGGGCATCTAGGTTGGTTCCACAGTCTAGCTATTGTGAATTGTGCTGCTATGAGCATCGATGTAGCAGTATCCCTATAGTACACTCTTTTGAGGTCTTTAGGGAATAGTCCGAGAAGGGGAATAGCTGGGTTAAATGGTGGCTCCATTCCCAGCTTTCCCAGGAATCTCCATACTGCTTTCCAAATTGGCCACACCAATTTGCAGTCCCACCAGCAATGTACAAGTGTACCCTTTTCCCCACATCCTCGCCAGCACTTGTTGTTGTTTGACTTCATAATGGCTGCCAGTCTTACTGGAGTGAGATGGTATCTTAGGGTGGTTTTGATTTGCATTTCTCTGACTGCTAGAGATGGTGAGCATTTTTTCATGTACTTGTTGATTGATTATATGTCCTCCTCTGAGTGGTCTTGATTTCTTGCAGATGACTGACCTTCAGCTTTAACTGCTTGAAGTCTAGGGAAGCAGATGTGTTCCATATGCAAACCCATGGCTGTGGAGAAAGAAACTTTCCATTTAGTTCCTCTCTCAGAGCCTGTTAAGCCCCTTTTCTCTGAGTTCCAGCCCAATTCATTGACCATTTCCTAATCTCTAAAGTGAAGTGATATGGGTTGGGGGTGTGGCTCAAGCGGTAGCGCCCTCGCCTGGCATGTGTGCGGCCTGGGTTCGATCCTCAGCACCACATACAAAGATGTTGTGTCCGCCGAAAACTAAAAAATAAATATTAAAATATTCTCTCTCTCTTTAAAAAAAATTTTAAAAAATTAAAAAAAAATAAAGTGAAGTGATAATTGAACTGTTTTCATAAAGCTACCACAGAAAGTTAAAATGACACTGCTTCAAATATTTGGCACTGTTTGCTACAGAAGAGGCTTAGTAAATAGTGCCTGACCTTTCTCTTAATCTCTTCAAATAAAATCCTGCCAAAACATCTTTAAATTAGAAAAGCATCTTTGAAGGAGGAATCAATGACCAACAAAATTACCATGTGCTGGGAGCTGCCACATAGGAGCTGAGCGCCCCCTAGCTTTGAATGATGGGAATGTGGAGATGTGGCAAGCCAGCAATGGGCTGTGTGTGTGAGCTGTGAGCATTTTGAGTGCAGAAAGTGGACTGGACTGACCATGCAGCTCTGTCTGGGCTGTGCACCTATTTGTGGCCTTTCGCTTGCTCTGCTTTTGATCATCCCACTGCACATGAGATGGGCATGGCCTTCCAAGATGTCAGTCAACCTGCTGACCTGCAAGACATCATGAAGCTTGACTTAATCCCCTGAAACCTGACCCCTTGCCTCATTTGAATGGCTTCTTCCCAGTAAAACCGGGTTTAAGGTGTGCTGTTTCTCTTTCTTGCCTGCTTTGCCTCCTTTGTGGGAGCTGGGTCAGAGGAGCTGTTACAGAACCCAAAGAAAAAAGGTATTTCTCTGTCTCTGTGTGATTTTTTCATGCCAGCCCAGTTCACCTGGAGTGATCCTGACTGGTTTAGTTGTGTGTCTCGACAATAATGCTGTCTCATTGTTTTACCTTCCAGTCTTTGTCACTAGACAAGTTTTCTTCAATTACCTAAGGGCACAAGTTCATTTTGGGGGGAAAAAAAAAAAACTTAAGCTGATTTAGAGTTGTTAAATATTTAGTGAAATGGGTATAACGCATTTTGTGGGAATGGGGCAAAAATGAAGTGGGGACCCTCCCACCTTATGTGAGGAAATGACTCGGGAGGCTGAAACAGGAGGATCACAAGTTCAAGGCCTCAGTAAATTAGCAAGGCCCCTTAGTGAGACCCTGTCTCAAAAGACAAAAATTAAAAGGGCAGGGGATGTGGCTCAGTGGTAAAGCACCACTGGGTTCAATCCCTAGTACAAAAAAAAAAAAGTATAAATCCAACTAATAGACTGCTAAATATTTTATGTCCTCCTACCTAGAAAAAAAAATAATGTATTAGTATGGAGAATTGCATGGGGGAGACTGATTCTCTTTACTCCTCACAGTCGTCTCCATCCTGCACCATGAGGGCTTGGCACTCACATATGGGGATGCCCCAGCCCTGAACATCCCTAGGTAACTTGCCTGCCCCCCACCACTCATGGCCTGTGATTGCTCACACAGGAAGCCTGATGTATCTTACCAAGGCAGACCAAGTGAAGAGACCCACTTATTCCAGGAAGCAGGCTCAGGATGGTTGGGAAGAGAATTCCAGGGTCCTGAAATTTGAAGATTTGGGGAATGGGGTAGTCAAGGCTCCCAGACCCAGCAGATTTCTTGCTCAGAGGTAGGGGCATGGTGAAGAAGGCCAGCTGGGGCCTCTGAAGCTTGGGTCTCAGGGCTAAGGCCCTACCATACAGGCCACAAGTAAAGGAAGTACTGGTGTGAGACTAACAAAAAATGATAGGATTCCCAGAGTTGAGAATCCTTTATCCCAAATATATGGAACTTATACATTAATGTTTATAATCCTTTAAGGTCTGTAGGCTTTGATACTACAAGTTGAAATTCCTAATTTCAACCCTCCTCTATCACTGAGCTATGTCCCCAGACCATTTTATGTTTTTAAGGCAGGGTCTTACTAAGTTGCCCAGTCTGGCCTCCTACCTCAGCCTTTCAAGTAGCTAGGATTACAGGCATGCACACACACCTGGCTCACAAAAGCTTTCTTAAATAAAAAACCAGATATGTCCCAGGTGGAACAGTGGGTGATAAACATGTTATGTATGTTAGGAGTGTCCCACGTTCATAAGACTTTAGTGTGCATTGAGCTGTTTCTGAAGAAGGAAACATTCCCAGGCTTCTCCAGGCCTCAGGTCACACAAAATAGGTTTTTAAATTCTGTCTCCTAAGAATCAGATATGAAAGCTTATGGGATTTTTAGATTATAGGACTTGAAGCAAGGAAATTCCTTCCTCAGTTTGCTCTGGGTAGTTTTTTGTTTGTTTTACCAGGGATTGAACCCTGAGGTGTTTTACCACTACACTACATCCCCAACTCTTAATTTGCTTAGGGCCTTGCTAAATTCTGAGGCTGGCCTCAAACTTGCAATCCTCCTGTCTCAGGTGCTGGAATTTCAGGCGTGTGCCACCAGGCCTGGCTGCTCTGGGCAGCTTTGTTAAAAACATGAAGCACAGCCTGGGGAATCCCTGTAGTATATTATTAATAAATAAGCATTACAACCAATCTTCACAAAAGCTATATCTAAGAGGGATCCCTCCCTTTGCAAAGAGCTATCTGGGGATATACAAGACACACAGAGGCCTGTATTCACGTAAAATGTGTTCATTTGTCGTTGGCCAAACAAGGAGCCCATTACCACGACTTGAGGGACAGCAGCTGAACAAGTCATCAAAGCAGACTATGGGTGTTTGCCAACCCAAAACTAAGGAGACTAATAGCACTCAACGACTATCAATGGCTGTTTTACAGAACAGGAAAGACCCCAGCAAATTAAGTGACCTTAGGGAGACTATCTTTTAAAGTTACAAGTGATAACTAGAAGAGTTGTATTCTATTTTCATAATTGGCCCCTAAATTCTTTTTTTTTTTTTTTTTTTTGGGCAGGGCTGAGGATTGAACCTAGATCCTTGAACATGCTAAGCAGTGTTCTACCAGTTTCCCCAGCTCATTTGTTGAAGACTATCTCTTCCCCCACTGAGTGGTTTTGCACCATTGTCAAATACCATTTGATCACACATGTGAGATTTATTTCTGATCTCCTTAGTTTTCCCGACATTTTATTTTGAAATGCCTTCAACCTGAAGATAAATGGAAATAGTACATGAATGCTTATATACTCTTCATGTAGATCCGGGTGTTATGAACATTTTGTCACATTTGCTTTCTCACTAGCTCTCAATTTAAACATTTTTTGAACAATTTTTAAATTAAATTCCTAATGCCATGACACTTTATCCCTTCAGCATTTATATTCTAACATTTCTCTTAGAACCATGCAACCATTATTGGTACCCAAGATTTATTTCCTAAATGATTCAGATTCAACTCCCCAATTTCCCAAAAAGGTCTTTTTATAGATTTTTTGATTTTCACTCCAAGCCAATCAAGATGGCTTGGTGGCTCTTCAGAAGCTAAACATATAATTAATTACATGACCCAGAAATTCTACTTCTAGATATATTCCTAAAAGAATTGAAAGCAGAAACTCCAATGGGTACTTGTATGCCAGTGTTCATTTCAAAAGAAAAATGTAGAAAAAGGTAGAAACAACCCAAGATGAGAGGATAAACAAAATGTGGTATATGCATGCAATGGAATACTACTTAGTCCTAAAAAGGAATGAGATTCTGATACAATATGGATGCACTTTGAAAATTATGCTAAGCACTCCAAAAACAAAAATACAAATAAATTTCACTTACATAAACTATATAGAGTAGGCTAATTCACAGAGACAGTAATAGAACAGATATGTTTTGAATTATATACCTAAAAATGATAAAATGAAGAGTTTCAGTTTGGGATGGCGAAAAGTCCTGAAGATGGACGGTGAAGACAGATGCACAACAATGTGTTTAATTTTATACACCATGATTTAAAAAATTATCAAAAAAAAATCACACCCCTCTAGCGGGGGGGAAAAAAAAGGTTGTCAGCCTATCCCAAGCATTCTCAGCAGCACTATTAACATTTTGGGCTGGATAAGTCCTTGTTGTGTGGGACTGTCCTGTGCATTTTGGGATGTTTAGCAGTATCCCTAGCCTTGACTTGATCACAGAAGGATCTCCCCGGTACCTCCAGAAATTGTTCAATGTTCCCTGGCAAAAGGGGCCACAAACGGCTGGGGATATAGCTCAGTTGGTAGAGTGCTTGCTCATATGCACAAGGCCCTAGGTTTGATCCCCAGCACCTAAAAAAAAAAAAAAGTGTGGGGGCGGGGCCACAATTTTCCTCAGTGGAGAACCACTGGCCTATGCTAACGTTGCTGACTGGGTGAGCATTGCTTGAAACTGCTTTTGTTCCCTAGCTAGAGGTTCACTGAGTCTCCCATTGACCTTGGATTTTTTTTTTTTTTGGGGGGGGGGAGTGTGCGGGTACAAGGGTTGCTGGGGATTGAACTCCAGGGCACTAGACCACTGAGCCACACCCCCAGCCCTATTTTGTATTTTATTGGTGTCTCTCTGAGTGGCTTAGTGCCTTGCTTTTGCTGAAGCTGGCTTTGAACTGAGGATCTTCCTTCCTCAGCCTGGGATTACAGATGTGTACCACTGTGACCAGCTCCCATTTGACCTTGGTATTTTATTGGTTTTACCACATGAATGGATAGTCTTTGAGCAGAGTTACATTTTGAATATAGTTATTCTACTTGTGACAGAAAAGGGGAAACTAAAAATTCTGGAGAGGTCATTTCACTCTGAGGCTTCTTTCTACACATCTTGAATGAATTCATCTCTTCCATCTTCCTTTTGCCTTGCTTAGAATTTCAGTGGAAACAAATCAAACAAGTTTGACAATGATTTAACAAAATTCTTTAATAAAATTTATAAAAAATGCTTCCTTAAGAATAAATTTCTCAGCTTGAATTGTTTTCTTCTTCCACTCCCAAAGAAAATACAAAATTATCAGCACCCACACACATTTACACTCAAAACTTATAGTGACATTCTCTATACCTACATCAGATAGTTTAAAATGCAAAAATCAAGACAATTCCAACAACTGATTGCAGACATAATTTTTTTTTCCTTCCCAAAACAGTTGACAGTAAAGCAATTTCAATGCAACTCTTCTGTAGTTGCCCAAAGTTGAAATTTGCATTTTGAATTAAAAAAAAAAAATTCAAATCAAAGTAATTTTCTTCCTCTTACTTAACATACATTAGGGCAGTGTTTACTTCCTGCTTCTAAGAAAATACAATGGGATTTCTAATATCTACAGTTTTCTGTGTGCAGTTAGAAACAGGCAACTATGTCCAGATCAGCCAGTGTTTTCTGTAGACCCATTAAAAGCAGGCACTTGGGGATTCTGGGCTTTGGGTACAAACCATGGTATAAAGATCCTGGGTAGGAAACATACGCTGAGATTCCTCCATTCTGCCAGAATTTTGAGGGATAGAGATCAAATCACTTCAATGATCCTCAGCATGTTTGCTAAAAGGCCAGGCTCGGTAACAAGCTCTCTTTGCCATCTCCAAGTCCATCTCTCATACTTCCTTTCTGGCTTTGGCTGCAGCACTATAGGCACTATTCTACATCCTAGAACACATTGCTCTTTTGTGTCAGTGATAAATAGACATTAAACATTAAGTGGCACCTGAAAATTCACCACACTTTCTGGTCCAGGTTCCCATACAGAACCAAACCACCCGCAATGACATTTGCATAGCAAACCTGGACTGAGAACAAGTAAATGCATAGATGCCCATTTCAAGTCAGTACTCAGGAGATAAAGAATCCCTGTCCCCCGCAGAGCAACTTAAGGGTGGAGGCTAGAACACAGGACATACCAGTGCGCTGATGGGGGAAAGCACACAATTAAAAAAAAAAAAAAAAAACTTTTTATATATATATATATGTACATACACACACACACACACAAAAAAAAAACAGAAAACAGGACAATTGCTCTTCCCCTTCCTTTTAAACATAAGCAATGCCCCCTAGGGAAATCTACGTGTGGTTAGGAGAACCTTCTGAGACTGAAGTTTGTTCTTTTGAAATATTAAAATTCGGGGAACTTTGGGACGTCATCACTCTGAAAAGAGTGATTAAAGAAAAAAAAAAATTCAAGCACTATGTCAAACCTTTCTAACAGACCCAGATTAGAACTACAAAATGGAAACAACTATCTTTACGGCATCTCAGATCAGTCTCTCTCCCCAGGAACTCACGTCTAGGGAAGGTAGCTAAAAAACCCCCAGCAACATTGCTCCTCATTTCCCATCACTCGGGCCAAAGGAACCCTCTCCAGAGCGCCCTAGTCGTCCTCGCCACCCCCGTACATGTCTGCCAGTTTCTTGAAGCGATTGCCCCATTCGTTCAGGTAGTCATAGTCCTGGTCCTGGTCCGATTCTGAGGAATTAAGCGAGCTGAGACTGGCAGCTTCAGAACCACTTCCTTCATAGTCGAACACCAGCAGAGAATCATAAGGGGGCGCTGTGGGGTCACTATCAGCCGCCTTCAGGTTCTAAAGAAGAGAGGCAAGGAGGTCTTTCAGTAAAAGGAACACACACTCCTGGGCACGAGAAGGCATTGGAGGCTAGATACCTCCTTGTGGTGTTTCAGGTGACACATGCAGTGGTGCACACCTGTATTTCCAGTGATTTGGGAGGCTGAGGCAAGAGGATGGCAGGTTCAAGGCCAGCCTCAGCAACTTGGAGAGACTCAGTATCAAAATAAAAAGTAAAAAGGGTTGGGGATTGTAGCTCAATGGTAAATCACCCCTGGGCTTAATCTCCAGTACAAATAAAAGATTGTGGTGGTGGGGGGGTCCTATTCCCCAAGAATCCAGTGGCTTGAATGGATACAACTTGGCTGCCCACCTTAATGCATTGTTTTGTACAGTCCTCAGTGTTAGTGACTCCCACAGCAGACTAAGTAAAACCAGCCTCAGCCTCCAAGGGCCACTAGACTATCAGGCTAGCCCTGAAAAAACTAACTGAGCAAATGATTACATGAAATAGCATAAGAAAAGGAAATAGTCTTTGTTGGACTGTTCCCTTACTGGGTTCTTTAGTCATCTCACTCCCAGTTCTTCCTCATTTTATCCTGAGCTAATGAATTTAATGCCTTATTATTCTCCCCTTCAGGCAGGAACCATCTGTGCCAGTTCTAGCCAATAACATTTTGGGCAAATTCCTTTCTTGAATATGGTGGACCAGAAGAAACATTTTTGTCATCTGTGCTGCCTCTCTTACTTCTTCCTGACTGAACGATGGACTTGAGGCCTGGCAGTGAGGAAGCCATCCTGTGATCACAAGGCATCAACCAGGAGAGCAAGCACTTCTGCATACTAAGAGCATGCAACAGAAGAGTGGGACAGCATACCCCAGCCTTCTGTTTACACAAGGTAAATCCACTCCTATCTGTTTAAGCTTCTCAATCTATAAACAGAATGAATTTCTGACACATACAATATGGATTTTATTTTTCTGGCTGTAAGTAGACTACGATGCACATTTAACATTATGTCCCAACCAGTGGTGAGATACAGGGGATCCCATCAATGAAAACAAACTCAACTTACTTTGCATCCTTTAATTTCATTTCTAGATCTACTAAATCCTTTCAAGCAATTCTTGGTTTTGTCCTATAGACTTTACCAAATTCCCTAAGACTAATTAAAAGTGCTGTCAATTCTAAAGTTCACAGAAGATACAAAAACAAGAGGGCTCAGGGATTAGGCAGGCTAAAAGCATGATAAAGGGATGAAGCTAAAGATCCTTTGTCTAATTTTTATTATTTTGTTTTCCTCTCTTTACTCTGGAGTTTAGAGGTATGTTGTGCTTTGATATTCAACTTTGCTTACTTACTTCATCAATAAAATTTCCAATTTCATCAGGATTGGCAGGGCGGGGACGGTACTGGGGCACACTCAGGAGGGTTGGTGCTACATCATTACGAGTCACTTCTGGCCGAGCATCCAGGCCTCTGTGCAACTGGCTCAAGTCAAAGTCCTTGGAGAAAAAGATAAAGGTATGACAAAAAGAAACAGCCACATACATAAAGCCATGTTCGTGTTATGCCTTAACTACCAACTGTATGATACCTACCAGCATATGCCCAATTTAATATAAAATGACAGTTTTCAAATTAAGAGTCTCCCAACTAGCACTGAAAGAAAACAGCTTGAACGAGTAACAATTGAGATGAATATAAACTGTTAAATCTTACTTGCTTTCCATAGAATAAAATGATTAGATTATTATTCAGCAAACATTTATTCCCTCCCCACCAGAGCCTTTATGAGAACAGTACACGTCCATTTATGTTGGCCTTTGTCACGTGACTTGTTTTCAGCAAGGTGACAACAGGCAAAAGCTTGAAAGGCACTAGCCTGCTTGTACAAAGGAGGAACAGACCTGGACACAACTTGAGGCTTTGAGTCATTCATCTAAAAATCTGCCAAGGTCAGTGAGCTGCAGCCAACCTTCAGATTCTTGTGAATTCCACTCAGATTAGCAACTGCCCCAGCTAACCCACAAATGCCTGAGAAAGGTATGCTTATTGATGTGTGCCACCGAAATCCTGGGGTTGTGTACTATATAGTGGGGCTGTGATAACTGTTCACTGAAACAGTGTACCCTCCGATTAGACTTAAAAACGCCTTGAAATCTGGAACATTGAGTAAGACAAAGACAAGTCCATTTGCAAACTCAGGCAAAAACAGAGAGGGCCTCAAGAATTAATATCTCAGGCTGGGGATGTAGCTCACTGATAGAGCACTTGCCTCACATATGCAAGGAATGGGGCTCGATCCCCAATCCCACACTCAGATACACAGTCGAGGTGTGGTGGCACATACCTCTAATTCCAGTGACTTGGGAGGCCAAGCCAGGAAGATTGCAAGTTAGAGGCCAGCCTCCACAATTTAGCAATTTAGTTGAGGCCCTATCTCAAAATTTTAAAAAATCAAAAAAGGTATAGCTCAGGACTAACACTATCGAGTTCAAGCCCCAGTACTGTGGAGGAAAAAAAAAGACTTAACTTCTAAAAAAGCAAACAGTTTGGCCTAACTAAAAACTCAAGAGAAACCAAATATTAAAATAGGTTGCTATTCACCCACAATAAAAAATTAAAAAAAAAAAAAAAAAAAATAGGTTGCTATTCTACAATAATTTCTACAAATTATCTCCAAAGACAACTTAATTGAAGTTCATGTCCCGACAATACAAAGAGTGTAGGCTCTGAAGCCAGACTAGGTGTATGACCTTGGGCAAGCCATACAACTGCTCTCTACCTCAGTTCTCTCATCTGGGTACAGTACAGTAAGCAATGAATAAATGTTAGTTATGCTGGTAAGGATGATAATGATGATACCTAATGACAATGTCCATTTTAGGGGGTTTTTCCTTAAGAATAATACACAGAATGGCACAGCTATTTCAATGTCTGCCTTCTCCTTATCAGATAGAGCTTTTATGTTTCAAAAACCCACCTGGTCTTCTTCTCCACCTCCTTCTTCATCATAGTAATAAACGTTGTCCCGGGTGTCATCTTCTGGTGGCAGTAAGGGCTCTTTGACCACCCCTCTCCTCCGAACAAACAGCAGAAGCAGCAGAAGCAGGACTGGAGGGGGAGAGGGAGAGAGTGATGCAAGCTACGGGCAAGGAAAGCCAGAAGCTGCCATCACAGAGTACCCACAACTTACATTCCAGACCAGAGGCAGGCAGACAGCAGCCACTGGCCACCTTTAACACATATGCAGTCAACCCACATGAATGACACTCATGTACTTGAATTTAATAAATGTGATACAACATAGCTGACTATGATGCTTGAATTACAGTGTGTTCTTTAAGTTTCAGATGGATCTTAAAACCAATCAAAGTCATTTCCCCCAGATTCTGGGGCAAAGTGTTCCAGGAAGAGGAAATGGTAGGGGCAAATACCCTGAGGCAGGTGTGTACTTGGTGTGATTGAGGAAGGGGGAAGAGGCTAATGTGGCTGAAGTGGAAAAGAGACTAGGGATGGGAGGGACCACTACAAGGCTATGGCTTTGATTCTGAGTGAGTTGGAGCCATTCAAGGTTTGTGAGCAGGGCTTCTGGGACAGTCTAAATGTAATTGATGCATGCCTGTGATTGTTAATCTGTTACAGCAACAGATGAGATTAGCAACTGCTACAGACTACAGAATCACCTGACATGTTCTTAATCTTAAAACAAAGATTTTGAATGAAGGGAGGAAACGGGGACAGCACAGGAAAGACAGTGGAATGAATCTATTTTAACTTTCCTACATACAAATATAAATATACCACAGTGAATCTCTTCATCATGTACAACCACAAGATTAGGATCCCAATTAGAACAAGATGTACTCCATGTTTGTATAAATTCCAAAATATATTCTACTGTCATGTATAACTAAAAAGAACATCAAGAATGGGGAGGGAAAAGGATTCTGTGTTTTCATTATTTATTTTTGCTTTAATTATTTTTTGTTTTCGTGTGTGTTATAGGTACAAGTGCCCAAGCACTTATACACTGTATTTTGGAGAAGCATTGTCTCATTGAAACAGGAGGTTTCCATAAACTTGGGAAAGATTCCTTACATGCACTCTGCCTATTGCTTCTGAGCCAGGATAGCAGAGGTCTTATCCAGATAAATAATGTAATTCTCTAGTTCAGGATTCATGGATGAAAATACTGAGTATTCGCTAATTGCGCCATGGGATGTGGCATGAATGAGACACTGCAGGCTGCAAACAGTTCCTAACCATGCAGAATCTTATGGTTGGTTTCCCAAAGGATGCTTTATTTTATTTTTTTCCATTTACTTGTAGATCTGTTTATTTTTTGTCTTCACCTAGAATATCCATGGATAAATGTTTTGTTTTGTTCACTGATAACCTCCAGCATTCAGAACAGTGCCCAGCACTCTTATATATCCTGGGAAACCTGGTTATTGATATTAGTATGCATGGTTCTGGCATAATGATTTTTTGTTGTTGTTCTTTATAGATAGACATGACAGTAGAGTGCATTTTGATATCATACATACATGGAGCATAACTTATTCTAATTAGAATCTCATTCTTGTGGTTGTTCATGACACGGAGTTTCACTGGTGGTATATTCATATATGAACATAAGAAAGTTATGTCCAATTCATTCTACTGTCTTTCTCAAGGGATGTTTTCGGTTATACCAAAAACCCAGTGCCCCCAGTGTCTGACAAAGCCTGGTGCCGAATAAGCGGTTAAATATTGGTGAAATGCAAGAAAAGCTTCATGTGTTTGTGTCCCACCTGTATTCACTGAGGCTTGGAAAGCACTGAGAGAGGAAAAGAAAAAAAGACAGATGAACTCTGAGTCCCCCTTTGACTTCATGAATGGTATGTCTTCCACTCCTGGACACTTACCTCTGAAATGTTCAGTAAAAGACAAACTTCTACTTTATTTAAAACACTCTACTTGAGAGTCTCTTTCATCTTCTAACTAGCACCTTAATTAAAAGTTCTTTCCAGGAAATAAACCTCCCCCACTTGAGGAGCCAAAGGCTTAAACACATTGCCAGCTGCACTTACTTAGGAAAGCAAGGATACCGCCAAGAATCCCTAGAATGGCAGGAACTTCCAGTGTCGCTTCTGCAAATTTTGGCTTTATACAGTTGTTGACAGTTCCCTCACAGTCACATACATGGACGTCCAAGGTGGTCACCTGGTCTTTGTTCTGATTATCCATGAGCTTGAGATTGATTTTGTATTCACCCAACTCTAAGGGTTTCTTTGGCTTCAAAATGAGAGACTCTTGGGCTGAGAAAAGCAAAACAAATTAATGGGACCAGGAGAAGAAAAATAAAGATAGATAAATAAAGACTGGGAGGGAACTAAAGATGCTCCAAAGCTGAATGAAGAAAGTGGAGCTGCTTGGGGTTTTGGTTACAAGGCAGTATGTCACAAGGCAAAATGTGAGGAAATGAAGGAGACCTTTGGGACGATGCCATAGGTGTAGAAGGCACAAGGAGCAAATAACAAAGGAAAGGGCTGGCAAGTAGAGTGGGAAGGGAAATTGAGCAGCAGGCAGGGAAAAGGAAAGGAGAAACACAGCAGGGAGAAGCAGGGTGGAGAAATCAAGTTCAAGTTCCCACCTGGATCACTGTACTCAATGGTCCAATTCACACTTGCCCCATGTGTCAGTTCTGCTGTGAAGGGTGAAGTGTTGGGGGGAAGATCTGGGTCTATGATGTTTATGATTTGAGGCTGTGGATTCTTCTGGCAGAAGTAGACATTTCGAGATTCTGGTATGGGAGCATTATCATTTATGTCGGAGAGGATCAAGAGAAGGGTTCCTGTTCCAGTGGCAATCGGAGAACCTAAAAGAAAACACAGAGGAAACGCCCCCACT